CACGGATACACTTCAAGCACAAAGCAGCATAAACTAATCGATTACTAAAAGGCAACTAACAGACTAACCGATTTAAACTGTTCAAACTGACAAATAACTAACTGTGCAAGCATCGAATCAATCACTAATAGATTTTGACACCATTCATTGATCCTTGATTCCACCTGTCCAATCAGACAATTGCAATCAACCATCCAATCACCCAATCAACTAACCAAACAACTAACCAACCATCTTACCAACCAAACACACAACCAACCAACCAATCCACCTGTCCAATCAGACTATTACAATCAACCCACAACTAACTGTCCAACCATCGTACTAACTAACCAAACAACTAACCAACCGTCTTACGAACCAACCAACGATCATACCAACCAAATGACAATCTTACCAACTAAGCAACCAACCTACCATATTGCCAAACAACAACCCATCTATATCCATCATCTTACAAACTGACCAAAAAACAACAACCAAACACCGTACCAACCAACGGAACAAACATCCATCTATTACCAACCAACCAACCAATCAACCAACCAACCAACCAACCAATCAAACAACCAATCAAACAACCAACCAACCAACCAACCAACCAACCAACCAATCAAACAACCAACCAACCAACCAACCAACCAACCAACCAATCAAACAACCAACCAACCAACCAACCAACCAACCAATCAACCATCCAATTAATTAACCAACCAACCAATCAAACAACCAATCAACCATCCAACTAATTAACCAGTCAATCTTACCAACTGACCAACCAAACACCGTATCAACCAACGGAACAAACATCCATCTTACATCTATTACCAACCAACCAACCAACCAATCAACCAATCAACTAATCAAACAACCAATCAACCAACCAATCAACCATCCAACMAATTAACCAGTCAATCATCTTACCAACTGACCAACCAAACACCGTATCAACCAACGGAACAAACAGTCATATTACCAATCAACCAACCAACGTACCAACCAACGAACTAGCCCATCAACCATCTTACCAACTAACCGACCAACCAACGAACCAACGCACCATCATAGCCATCGCATCAACCAATCATCGTACCAACAAACCAACCAACCAGACAACCATTGTACCAACCAACTAAATAACCAACAAACAATACCTACTAACCAGCCACTAACTACACCAAGAGATATCCATTGATCCAMRCAGAGCAATTAATCACCAATCGAAKGTCAAGAAGTGGCAAGTACATAATCCTGATCCATACTAATGTGCTAATAGGAATAATGCTTATCACTGTGCAAGGCGTGTAGATATCTTAACAGTATCATGATCATCAGGGCACTTAAATATCGCACAACATAGTACGATGTTAAAGTCAATTCACATCCTTGGAATTATGTGTTAAAAGGGTGAATTATTATCACTAATACTATGCTTTTCTTCTGGGTTCATTAAAGCAATCACGTGTTTCAWAGCTCAACCTGATATTTGATCATCTTATTTTAGAAGCCTTCCGTTACGTCTATCATGCATGTCATATTATGCATGGAGTCATTTGTGGCATCATCAACGATTTCGTTCTCACCAAATTCATCACAGTTCTTTATCAATACTYACTATTATTGAATTTATTGAATCTATATCTCAAAGAAATGTGTTACTTCTCCCTTCTAATCTATTGTACAGTTGACAATGGCCTCCAAATTCAAAATAATTTTGAAACAAGGAACCAACAGCAATAAGGAATTCTATGAAATAACAAAGCTTGAAGAAGACATATTCGGTTATCGTCGCGAKGTACCCCATTTCTTGCCCTTTTTTACAAATCTATTTACCACATGTCCATTTTGTCTTCTAGACATTAACGAGTGTGCCTTAGSCTATCATAATTGTCACGTGGATGGTTACTGTATRAATCTCAGTGGAAATTTTACCTGCGCATGCAACGTCGGGTATACGGGAAATGGGACGTCCTGTACAGGTAWGACATGAATAGCGATTGACCATTCATATGGCSCACAGAGGATATGGATTTTATCTTCGAGTGTGGAAAAAATCTCTCATGAGTGAGTGTCGCGATAATTATTATATAATTAWACGATAAATAATTATTATACATAATTTCTCCTTCGAAGATAACGATGAATGCTCTCTAAATACACATAACTGTCATAATGACGCTAATTGTACCAACACCAAGGGATCYTTCTACTGTACCTGTCATACGGGGTACTCGGGGAATGGAGTCACGTGTCTAGGTGAGATGGCTTATTCGTTTGAAGTTCTCGTTTTCACAAATCTTAAGAACAATGTAAACATGTGTATGATACGAACTCTGCGAGGTGAGTTCATGATTGTAAAGCAATTTTATTTCACTTTAGATATCAACGAATGCAGTCCATCAGGCCTATCAGCCAATCACAGTCACTACGCCCATAACTGTCACYKTGATGCTAACTGTACCAACACCAAGGGATCYTTCTARTGTACCTGTCATACGGGYTACTCTGGGAATGGAGTCACGTGTGTTGGTGTGTTTTTTTGACTGGATCTGGATCTTAAATATAATTAATGTGTAGATTATACGGATTGAATAGTGTTTCATCCTTTCCCCTAGATATCAATGAATGTCATAYAAATGCTCTGGCAAAACATCACAGRCARTARGCRCATAARTGTCACAATGATGCTAACTGTACCAACACCAAGGGATCGTTCTARTGTACCTGRCARACGGGYTACTCWGGAAARGGAGTAACGTGCTTTGGTAAATGAGTTTGACATAATTTCTATTATACATCAAATGTTTGTTCATACTGAATTAGTTATTTATTAAAATTTCTAACAAACCTTCATCTGCGTTTTTTTACGTTTTTCCATCAAGATATCAACGAGTGTAGGAAAACATCCCTTGCAGCACATCACAGTCACTACGCCCATAACTGTCA